ATGAATTTTAGTGGAATTTAGTGGAGTTTAGTGGAGTCATACAAAGATTACACCACAATAAAAAAGAACAAATTCCTGCTTCCCATAACATGGACAAATCTCACGAATATTTTCGTTTTTTTTTTTTAAAGATTTTATTTATTTATTTGACAGAGAGAGTCACAGCGAGAGAGGGAACACAAGCAGGGGGAGTTGCAGAGGGAGAAGCAGGCTCCCCGCCGAGCAGGGAGCCCGATGCGGGGCTCGATCCCAGGACCCTGGGATCATGACCTGAGCCGAAGGCAGACGCTTAACGACTGAGCCACCCAGGCGCCCCTCACGAATATTTTTGAGCAAAAGACACAAAACCACATATACTACAAGATTCTTTTTCTATGAAATTCAAGAGCTTGCAAAACCAAACATGTAATATTAGAAGTCAGAATAGTGGTTACCTCTCGGGGGCAAGGTGTTGCCTGGCAGGGGGCATGATGAAAATTGGGTTCCAGAGATGCTCTGTATATTGGTCTGGGTGGTGTTACGTGGGTACCTGTGTCCGTACAAATTTATTGAGTTGTACATTTAAGATCAGTGCTCGTTATACACTTTGCTTTACACAATGTCATATATCAGTAAATTTAAAAAAGGAAATGGAAGTCTGAAAATGTTCTTGTTCTGCCTCACAGTTGAGTGGTTAGCTGGGTTAAAGGACACAAACTGTGTGCTTCCTCTCAAGTTTCCTCAAATATCTCCTTAATGGCCCTCTTGGACAGAGCCCCGTCTGTGTGGGATTGCTCCTTTTCTTCCAGACCTCAATAAAATGTCCCAACACAGCATAAGAGGTCTAGGTCCTGACATGCCACTGAGGCTGGATGAGGCAATCCAAAAGTGTGTGTGTGTGTGTGTGTGTGTGTGTGTTGGTACACTACTTCACTTCTGGTCACCAAATGTGTTGACATTTTCCCATACTGACCAAATTTCCAACATCAGCTGGGTGTCCTACAATTCACTTCAGTTCCGACACTATCTACCTGAAGTTAACTCAGATCTCCCAAGTTCAGAGCTCAGTCCCACAACACTGCTCCCATTTCAGACGCCCGTCACGAGTCTCAGGTTGTCATCTGTACTTCGGACTATAAGTCAGAGTTCCCAGTTCAGGTTTGGTCATTTGTTAGAGCAGCTCACAGAACTCAGGAAAACCATTTACTTATCAGATCACCAGTTCATTATAAAAGGATACAACTCAGGAACAGCCAGGTGGAAAAAGCGCATAAGGCCAGGTATATGGGAGGAGCTGAGGAGTTTTCCCGCCCTCTTGGGCTATGTCACCCTCTGGGCACCCTGATGAGTCCAGCAACCTGGAAGCTCTCCAAACTCTGTGGTTCAGAGTTTTTTATGGAGGCTTCATCACATAGGCTGGATCAATTATTAACTTAGTCTCCAGCCCCTCTCCCCTCCCTGGAGAATGGGGAGTAGGGCTGAAAGTTTCAAGTTTCTAATCATGGTGCAGGCTTTCAGGTGACCAGCTTCCATCCTGAAGCCATCCAGGAGCCCATAAAGAGTCACTTCATTAGAACCAAACATGTTCCCATCACTCAGAAAATTCCAAGAGATTTAGGAGTTCTGTGTCAGGAAGTGGGTCAAAGACCAAATGTTAGAACAAAAGATGCTTCTAGCACCTTTATTGCTTAGGAACTTACAAAGGTTTTAGGAGCTCTGGCCAGAAGCCTGGAATGAAGACCGAAGTATGTATATTTCTTATTATATCACAATATCATGAAGGGTTATATTCCCTTGAAGTGAACTTGACCAATGGAAAACAGACAGGAACACACTGGGAAGATATTAAAAAAAAAGGGGGGGGAATCCATTTAAATATCACTCTAGGAATAGTCCCTTTTCAGTGTTATAGTCACGACATTAGATCCATACAGAAGGAAAAATAATCCTAGCACACAACTCAGCTCAAAATTAAAAATAGTAACATATATTATTAATATGTATATACATGTACATATATGTCGTATGTACTGGTTATTCAATGAACCCTATCAATATGATGGTTTGTGTTATTTAGCTCAGATAAACAATCTTCTATTTTCTTTGATACTTTTCTTGCACCTGGTCTCTCTGTACTGTCTTTCTGGAACTTCTATTGGTTGGATAACAGACTCTACTCTTCGATTCCATGTCACTATTCTCCTCCTTTATATCTGGCATTCCCATGTCCCTAAACTCTCTGGCATTCTTCAGGATAAGTACAGCATCTATCTAAGCTTTGGCCTCCTCTTCAGATACTTCTGGTTTTGGTTTCCTTCCTCCTAATTCATGAATTATCATTTCTCCACCAATTATCCAGCTTCTAGGAATATGTTGAAACCTTTTATTCCTTGAGGTCCTCATCCAGTCTCCTTGCATGGGTAGTTATACTATTATCTTTTTTTTAATGCACTCTAAGAGCCTTGGGGGAGAGAGAAGGAAATTTGCTTAGGGTCAGTTCACCACCTTGAACTGGAAGTGTCTAAATGCTTATTACATAGTTGAATCTGTCCTTACCATGTCACTTGTGTGTTTCATGACTGCTTAACAGGACTATTTTTTTCTAAACGTTAGGCATGTTTTTGGTCCATTTGGCCTGTATAAAATTTTAGAGACAAGTTAATAGTTATCTGCCATCTCAAAGCAATCAATACCACCTGCAGCAGACCTTTATCCAGCAGGTCAACACATCTTCATTTCTGAAAGTAACTAACTGTGTTTTTTAAATACCATTAAGAAAGCGGAAAGTGAAAAAGTTGTTAGTACATTCTGTGCTTTTCACTTCCAGCAGATATAAGGAATTATTTTTAGAAAAATAACACTCTATTTTTCTTCTTTTAATGCCTTAAACATCACATAATTTTTAATTTGCCTCCCTGATTTTAAAGTAACCTAATTCTTTATTTTTACCTTTAAATTAATCTATAAACAAATTTTACTTATTTTTTTAAGATTTTCTTTATTTATTCATGAGAGACAGAGAGATAGATAGAGGGAGGCAGAGGGAGAGGGAGAAGCAGGCTCCCCGATGCGGGACTCGATTCCAAGACCCTGGGATCATGACCTGAGCCAAAGGCAGACGCTTCACCGACTGAGCCACCCAGGCACCCAACAAAATTTTACTTATTTAGGCAGAATCTACACAAGTTCTCTTTTCCTCTCCCCCAGAAATCTGGCCATTACTGTCCTGGAAATGCACATACTAATGATACAAAACTTACAAAAAATCAGACATACTAATGATGCAAAATTTAAGCCATCTGGGAACACCTGATACAAATCACTCTCAAAGTCTGCACTTTCCGGATGACTAAAGATTTACCTTTTAAACATGGGCATGGGCAAAAATCTTAACCATTATGTATGAATATTTTAGCTGACTTAACATGTTTTATCTGTGGACTGTTTAAAACATGATTGCCATTACACGTATTATTGTGCCAAATTGTAAGTTCTAATTAATATTCTCAGTCCTTTAGGTCCCGGACAGTATATTGACCAGAGAAAAAGCTCAGTATACATAGCATTTGTTGAATAAATGTATGAAGGAAGGAAGGAAGGAAGGAAGGAAGGAAGGAAGGAAAGAAGGAAGGAAGGAAGAAATGCAGTACGATGATGCTCTTAGGTTCTGTTGAGGTATATGAGACTATTTTCTGTTATACTAAATGACCCCAGACTGCGGTGCTTCTGAGTTTTTGAGTCTGCTTGTAGTGTTCCTTCTTTGCCCTTTCTTTAGGTTCTCTTGTCTCTATGTCTCTTGTTACCATTGTGTGTATACCTATCTCTAAAAACCCTTCTCTCTTCTTTTAACTCACCACCTCTCATTAAGTATGGATTTGGGACCAAGATCACTAAGCTCGTTATGGCAAGTTAAAAAAGCTCTGAGTGAGTTTCTGATTGATTTTGCCAGAGTTTAATGTACTGTTTGTGGATTTTAGTTTCGTTTTGGTTGCCTGGACACTTCCTCCTGGCCTCATCCCCAGTTTTTATTTCTATTTCAGATAGTAAGATTGCCAGATAGCTTATTTCTACATGGATGAAACGATGTGCTAGTTATTGGGTAGAATTGTCTAATATAAATTACCTCTATTTTCTAGATGGCAATGCCCTTAGGCCCTATGAGCCCTGGGATTTTCAAAGCAAGCATAACTCCATGTAAGTCATGACGATTCAGAGGATATAGTGTTTTCCTCAAAGTAAAGCCAGTATGTTCCTTATGGTAATCCCCAGAGAAGTTTGCCATGCGATGTAAGCACGAATATAATCACCTAAAACTCTCATCCTGGACCCATCCATCTCTTTCATCAATTTTTGATACCATTTATATCAGTAGCTTTGCTGCATAACAAATTACCCTAAAGTTAGAGGCTTTAAGCAACAATTATTTACATTTTCTATGCATCTATAGGTCATCTGGGTGGCTCTGTTGATGTGAGCTGGCCTCACTTATGCATCTGCAGTCAGCTGTAGGTTGCCTAGAAGGTTCTTTTAATCTCAGGCTCTCTCCCATATGTCTGGTGTCTTGATGGGCACTACTAGACTGTATCTGCTCTGCCTACACGTTCCACCCCCAAGCAAGCTAGCTTGGACACACTATCATGGGAAAGGTAAAAGAGCAAAAGATACAGCAAAAGCATGCCAGGTTTCTTGAGGTCTAGACTCTGGAACTCACACATCAAGTCTGCTGCATCCTATCGGTCAGTGCAAGTCACAAGAATAGCCCAGATTCCAGGGGTGAGCAAACAGACTCCTCCTCTTGGTGGAAGGAACTGCAAGTCACATTGCAGAGGACACGGATAAAGAGAGAAGTAGAAAATTGGGGCCAAACTGCTATCAATTTAAGCATTATTTACTTTTTTAAAAGCAAGGAAAAATAACTACTCCATTTTATTCTAGTAGTCCCTATTTTGTTTCACTCCCTGTAGTTAATGCTGATACCATCTATTTCTGTTTTATTTTTTTCCCTGTTCCCATTTCCTCACCCTTTGGTATACAATGCTTTAAAGAGGATGTCTCAAAATGCATTGTTATATACATCAAACGGAAAGTAAAGTTGCTGAACATTTGCTACAAAAGAAAAAGTGCAAAAACTCATTTTCTTAAAGAGTGTTGTACTGTCTACTTCCACTGTGAGTTGGACGTAGTCAAACTTCCTGTTGCTTTTGATCTCAGAAAAGGCCCAGGCACCTTTGCGCTGGCAGAATGAAACACCAGGTAATAGAGGCAGCACGAAGTTGACAACACAGATATCTGAGTTTAATATTTTAGCTGTGGGCGATACAGAGCCTCCAGTTGGGAAACAGGATGATCAGATAGTTCTACTTTCAGTAGCTGGATCTGGAATAACCACCATGTGAATGGTGTGCCCTGGGTGCCAAGCACATTACTTAACCTCAGGAGATGTTTAGATAGCACGGGGGCGGGGGTGGGAGGAGGGGATTTCTTATCAACCACAGCAAGGAGCTCTGAAATTTGCTCTAAAATCCCTCAGGAGGGACAAAGGTGACTCATTCCTTATGCCCTGAATTTCCCCCCATCTGACCTGAAAGAGTGATGTTTAGCTGTTTCCATGTGAGTGGGAGGGTTAGAGATTTTATTGTTACTTAATTGGGAATTGCATGACCGAAAAGAGGAAGCAATGTTTAGCAATCGAGTGATCTAACATAATGGTAAACTTTATGATTACTTAATCTTTTAATGTAATTCTAAAATTGATGAAGAACTTTTGAGCCCGATTTTTTATATAAATCCGGTTTACTGATTTATATAAAATACAATTTTGTACTGTACAAATACAAATCAGTATCTGCAGTGGTCTTCTCTGAAGGATACAGTTCAGAGTATAATCCTTTGGGCTGCTTCCAAAAGACAGACAGGCACAGTCTCCAGGTCCTTAATTCTCAGAGTAGAATTGTTGAAAATCAACTCACAGTGGCTGCTTTTCATGTACAGTCTTGCTTAGTACTTCCTTTTATCCACAACACAGTATACATCAAAATTTACTTTCTTCTTAAACTATGGTATCCCGATTCCTTGAAAACTGATCATCTGTTAGCAATAATTAGCATTAACTGGAATATCCAGTTGCTGAGACCGCCTCATTCCTCATCAAGATGATAAAGATGACAGTTTTAAAAGAATCTCAGGCCAGCTGGTTGATCTTCTGTCGAATTTTTAGAAATCTCTAGGGGTTCGACATCCTGGCCTTCATCAGCAATTTGTTTTTTACCCAACAACACTTAACAGCTGTGAAATCCTGTCCTTTTATAACTCAGCTTCTTCCTCATACAATTTTATTTCATAATACCCACACGCACACACCACACAATATGGACAATAACCGGCCATTCTCTACCAGATAGAAATACATTATAAATAAATACCAAAAAGTAAATTTCATAAATATTATTGAGCCATCCTAGAACCTTCTTTTCTCCAAGCAAAATAATTTCAATGCTTGATAGGTCCGATCTTAAATTAAAAATTAGGTTACATGGAATAAATGGTGACATAGGAGAACCCAGCTTCCCCATCTCCCTCCCCACAAAGATTAATAATTAGACACTGTCCATGAACAAAAACAGCTCTGGGAGAGCTCTAGAGTCCACGTAGGACATTTTAGAAACACAGTGGAACAAAAAAACACTGAGAGTAGTCACACAAAAAGAAAAGGAAAACGGATTCATTTTGCCTACATCATCCCATCTCCCAGGCCAGCGTTGTTCAACACCAAGAAGGAACTTCCCAACTAGAAAGAGTTCCTCTCACCCGAAAAGCGCGGCTTGAGTGGCCAGTTTCCCCAGCCTCTTGGGACATGGCGCGAAGGTTCCGCTTTAGTCTCACCCCACCCAGGCCTGCAAAGCTGAGACGAAGTTGAGCCAGCTAAGAATAAGGAAGAAAAGCAGAGGCTGTTATTAGCAAACACACAGTACAGCAATGATTGTTCACAGAGATCTGCTGTGCAGAAAAAGTCAGCACATTTTGCCACCGATGAAGCCAAAGGCCGGCACAGCTGCCGGGGACGTCCTGCACGTCGCTGGAGCTTTTGCCCCGCAGGTATTCACTTGCTGATGCCAACTGCTTGAGTCTCTCCTGCCCCTCCCCCGCCCTCCCGGCCTCCAGGGCCCGGGACCAGCACCTGCAGCCATTGAAGTCTCTGTGGCTGGGCAACTGTAAGACGCCACCCATGAGAGTCCCCGCCCACGCCCACCAGAGCCCAGGAGCCATGCTCCCAGCCAGCTCTAGCTTCTGCAGCTGCACAAACACAACACATCAGTCTAGGCCCCCCTAGCTGACGCCCCTGCTATGCCTGCCCTGAGGGCTAGCCCCTTCAGCTGTGTACCTGCCCACCACCGGCCTGACACCAGTCATCGGCCTCTACTGTAGCCAGCAAGCACAGCGGGAGTGTATACAGCCATGGGTGGGTGCACCAACAACTAGGGCCTTTGCAGCTGCTCGTGGCCCCGATCAGGCCCTGTCTTCCATCACCGGCCAGCACCACCATGCCCACCTATAGCTTGCCCCTCCAGCTTTGCAGGTGTACACCCCCAGCCTGAACCTGTCACCAGCACGCACTCCTGTGGGGAGAGTATGCAGCCACAGGAGAGCACAGCGACCAGTCAGGTCCTCTGCAGCTGCTAGTGGGCCCCTAGTTAGCCCCCAGCCCTTGCTACCTGCCCCAGTGCCCATCACTACGAGTGTGTCTGCAACTGGCCCCAGCCACTGCAAAGCACCTGCAGCTGGCCCCATAGTTACGTGTGTGCATGCCACCAGCTCCGTACACCACCACTGCCTACCCTGATCCTTAACTACTACATCTGGAGGTGCTACCTAGGACCCCAACAGCCCTTGCAGCCACTGCAGACTCCTCATAGTGCCCACAAGGACCACAGAGTTATTGATGCTGTGGTCCCAGTGGCCTCAGCCAAAGAGAAAGCACACTTCCCCAGACCTGGTGCTGCCACATACCCCCACACTGGGCACCTTGCACCACTAGACCCAGTGGATTACAACATGATCCAATGTGCCCCTACGCACAGGTGAAAGGTTTCCCTTACTGAACTCAGTGCATAAAGTCTGAGAGAGGTGACTGTTTCTTCAAATGTGCAGACACCAGTGCGAAGCTACAGGGATCACGAAGAAACAGGACGGCACAAAGGAATACAGTGAAACCCCAGCAGCTGGCCCCAAAGAAATGGAGATCCAGGAATTGCCTGACAAACAATTCCAAGTAATTATTCTACAGATGCTCAGATCGCTACAAGAGAACTCAGATAAACAATTTAATATCAGGAAAACAATACAAGAATAAAATGAAGAGCACTACAGAGAGATAAAAAAAAATAAGAAAGAACCAAACAGAAATTTTGGAGCTAAAGAATACAATGACTGAATCGAAGAATCCAATTGAGAACTTCAACAGCAGACTTGAGCAAGCAGAAGAATCAGTGAGCTAGAAGATAAATCAATTGAAATGATCTAGTCAAGGAGCAAAAAAGAAAAAAAAAGAGTGAAAAATAATGAAGAAATGAAAAAAGAATGAATAACTTACCTTAACCTAGGTAAGTTATAGGACACCATAAAAAGAAATAATATATACATCATTGGAGGCTCAGAAGGGGAAGAGATGGGGAAAGGGGTAGAAAGCTTATTTAAAGAAATAATGGCTGAGGGGCGCCTGGGTGGCTCAGTCGTTAAGCGTCTGCCTT